TGTTCACTTCATAGGCTTTTATATTCAGGTTATTAATCAATGCTAGTTAAAAGCATGGATGAATATTGTGATAATCTATGGTGTATATGTGTATTGAAATTCTTGTTAAAATTGATCGACCATTTTTCGACAGGCACCTGAGTGAAGGGATGAAGTATTCGGCAATGTCAAGACCATTATCTAAGTAAAAGATTGCGGTGCTCAATAACAGAAATAAAGAAAAATTGGTTAGCATGAGATCATAACATATTCCTGTTTAGTGTTATATCAGGAATCAGGAGATACATTTTGAATGTGATGCTCTTTGGTTCGTTGAGCTTGATGTTTTGTTTGTGCAGCTTTCATTGTTCCCCAGAGCAATATCATCAGCACAAACTTTAGATGAATGAATTATTAAGTGAAGAATTACTTTGATCTTCCGATTTCTGTTTTAGAATATAAATTGCGTGCTTACATTTAAGTAGTTTAACGAAGTCAATTTACGAGTTCGACAACGAATGGGCTGTAAATGAATTTCTACAGTGGCCGTTTCAATGGGTTCCAATAGGTGCACACCTGTACTCGGTTCTCCCAGTCCCAGGTCCAAACAAATCAAAAAAGGACAAAAATTCTAGGAGAAAGCGGTCCTATTTAATAAAGACATGGAAATACAAAGCATTACCTGGAAGTATTGCTCCTTCCGGGATACAATTATTCCTAAGAGTATCAGAAATAACGATAGATAAGTGACGTTAAGTCCAGCGGCCACTGTATCAATCCAAATATGGCTGTAGCCATATTAAAGATCAAATTTTAACAACATATATACAATCAGAAGCAAACACAAAAACTTCAATATAAGTACAAAATATAGAAAGAATAACAATATACAATGATAAAATCTCAAATTGGAATCAAATAAAATACCAAAAATGTCAACCGAAAAAGTCCGTCATGTCATAACAAAAATATGTAATCATGGAGGGATTTTCCAAAAAACAAAACATTCAAAAAGGATTCTACATCAGCTTACATTCTGAAGATCTAAATTTTGACAAAAATGTTGATCTACAGCATGTAGGAAGGTAGGCACAGTGATTTCATGCTCTTACGATTGCTCATTGATTGTTGTTTTATCATCGTTGCTTAGGAAGTCAAACGTGAACTCCCTTTTGACCTAGTTGCCGATATCAGCTTGTAATACAATTTCTCGTTAGGATTCGAAACCAGTACAAGGTTATAAATATAAGGCGTAGATGTGATTGACATGTAAAAGTAATATCAAAATCACTGGTTAGGTACATCCTACTAAAATATGGGGATCTGTCAGCAAGCAGAATATCCTACCTCACTGACATAGTGGATTGAGGTTATTACACAACAGTAATGATTACTGCTGCGATACAACACCCTCCCCCTGCCTTTATGATGCAAGGCTTCTTAACTTTTGTGGTATGTCTTAAATATTTTTCTGCTGTAAGCTATATTATATTCCCACCTCTGCAATACACTGTCTGTACTACCCAAGTGGTAATCTGTAGCAACACATTACATTTCATGCTTGTCATCTCATTCGTCCTCTTCGTTGTCTATACCGTTTTATAGATCAACGGGTAAAATCCTGATATTTAAAGTAGGTAGGCCAACAAATATGATGACTGACAATCTGAAGACCCTTAGTTGAAACTAAATTATATCACTTCTGGCTGTTTCGACGAATCCGAAGTAGAAAAGAGTTAGAAATATTTGTAATTCAATAACTCTACAAGACGCAGTAATTCTGACATTTATCAATCACAGTCTACTAAATGCAAAACATTATGAAAGATCGCATCATGTTCAGGTGCATATTGCTCAATCTACTGTTCATATAAACTTATTACCGTAGCTGTTTTTGATGTTTGGTTGTTCGTTTACTCAACATATATCTCATTCGATGTCAGCTTTATTCAGCTGATCAAACACAGTTTGCTTTCCAGTACAACAATTTGTAATTTACCTGCATTATTTGAAACAATTCTGTACAGAGCAACATCTACAGCTGCGATCGTTTACTTCGTTTGCTTAAAAACTACACTTGTCATCTAGTTGATTCGGTCATCTCACTCACAATCAAACCCACGCAAAGTGTTCAGAGTGAAATCTTTAGCTAGGTAGGTTTACCAGGTTTGCAAAAAACCTACACTAGTCATCTAGTTCGTTGGATCACCCCACAAATCTATGTTACTGTCTGTGACAGACATACTCAGTCACAATCGTACCCACACAAAGTGTAACCAATTTTCACATTTACATCCAATCATTTTCAAGAGATATTGAGTTGACTGAATGACAGCCGTTACTTTCATTTGACAAACCATTATGTCTGTATGTAAAAACACAACATATTTTAGGATAGAAAACATATATAAACAGGAACAGTTAAAGAAGAAGCAATAATTGTGTAATCCAAATTACTGGTCTGATTCAAGTTCATCACGCAGAAGCGACGGTGTCACACAGGTTCTTAAAATCAACAATAGTCAACAACGGACCACCAAACAGAAGGCTGTGGTGGATAGTCGTAAGCATGAACATTCAGCATTTTCAACAAGATTTTCACAGATATATCGAGTACAATGAATCGTTCACCAAGGTCACTTGTGAATAATTTTCCGTCATATAGTCGTCAAGTCCCAAGTGACGATCTGATAAACTCAGACAAAAATAAATCTCGTTTTAAGAGACTTATTACAAGGAGAGTGTTACTTGTGTTAGCGATTGTATTATCCTTTGTTTTGGTAGCATGTCTTACTTACACATTTTATGGACGAAAATATCCATCTGCAACCACACTACCTTTCTGGAAATCAACAGTTGGTTATTGGATAGATGTGTTTGCATTCAAAGATTCTTCTGGTGATTTAGTTGGCGATCTCAAAGGTAATGAATATTAGTGTAAATTGATTGTCACTCAAATTATACTATTTCTATAGGTCTCACATCGGAAATTGATTATATCAAAACTGTGATCGGTGCAGGCTATGTGATACTGGGTCCCATTACAAAAGGATTTTACACCAATTCACACAATCTCCTCGGATTAGTGGAAGACTATGAGCAGTTGGATGAGGCTGTTGGTACAATGGATGACTTTCGTGCCCTTTTGAAAGAATTTCATAAGAAAGGTGTGAAAGTCGTACTGACGCTGAACTTCAATGCGATATCCATCAGTCATAAATGGATTAAAGAAAACAAAGTCAAACTGAAGCCATTCGAAGAATCTTTTTTGACTCAGGTGAAATCCTTGTCGTTTTTCCATAATTTCTTGATATTGGTTTTACATAAAGTGGGGATTTTACGGCTACCCAAGCTTTGTAAACATCAACGAGAGTAAGTTTTATTCTGTATTCGGAGAACCTAATGTCGATCTGGATTTGACTGATCCCGCTACTCTGAAACAGATATTTGTAAGTCTCAGTGAATACGTTTACAAACTATTTGTTACTAGAATGTGATCGACACATGGATGAGTGAGGGAATAGATGGAATACTGCTGGATAACGCAGCATATTTTGTCGAAGGAAAAGAAAAGGTACAAAGAGAGCTAGTCGATGGAATTTTACTGGATGATAACAGTTTTGCTTCCATGTTTACTCTAAATAATTCCCTTCCTCTTGCTTTAGATTGATACCACTTGCAAAAATCCTGAATTTTGTCCAACTTCGCAGATGTACACAGACGAAAGTGTCACATTTGTCAAAGCTGTTAAAGGTGAAATAGAAAAGTGGATTAAAAAAAGTGGGAAAGATATGTGAGTTTCTTCATGGTCTTTATTATGATTGATTTTTGGCAATTAAATCTAATAAGTAAATGATTGTACGTTTATCAGGGAAACTTTAGCAAACTCTACTAATACTGCTACAACTTGACGAGAGATTAAAATGAATAAAGTTTTTTTTGTTTTTATGATCAGAAGCATGACGTCCTATAAGCGAGTCAGTATTCGAGCAAACATACGTTCTACTTTATATGAATTATGTTGATTCTTATTAATAATCTGAGAATTTCAAATGATGACTTGGAAGAATAATGTAAACATTTGCCTTCACTCATCTCATTAGTAGGAATTATACTTTATTCCACAAATATCTTCTTGTTTGCGCAAAGAGATTCTGAATGGCTTATTTCCACACTTGAAATGACAAACTGTTCTTAATTCGATCTCTGTTAGAAAGGTTTGACCTTAGGTCTCATGAGTGGATACCTGAGTCCTGAACCGTTGAGACAGATAGCATAGATGTTGATGTCCGATTTCAATGAATTCTTGAATTTTTGCAATCAGTATTTGGTAGGCTCGTTAACTGATATGATTGAAACTATTGCGAGCTCAATTCAGTCGATAAGCGAGAACGAGTGAATGACTCAGTGACACGATAGGCCACTCTAATCCGTTGCTACGTCTAACTGAATAAGTCCTGATACGGAGTAGAAATTGTATTCCAAATCACCCAGAAAGTTTAATAACCTCAAGCACACAAACCGAGTTTATTCATTCATCATAAAAACGTTCTTGTAAAAGCCACGAAAATCGCGTACAAAAATAACACACCGATCAATGACAGTCAAGGACTTTTCTGGTAATAAATTTAATTTCGAGGTTAACTAGTCAGTCCATGGAGAAAACTCAGAATTAGGAGCTTTGTTAACTGAGTTTATTGGATCGAACGTACCCAACATTATTGGTTTGTCTGCAGTGAGAAACTGTGTCGTCTCACAGCCCATACTCAATTGAACTAATTATATTGAAGCTACTCACCAGCAAACACATGATAGTTTTTTTTGCGAAATAAGAAAGAATAAGCTGTCCATTTTCTGATATCCACATTCAGATCAACGATTGATTCAGGTTTTTTACATTAACTGTGATATAAGTAGTTTTAACTTAAGCCGATGCACTCAGATTATAATTCACTTAATTTTATAGTCTATGAAAATTTCCTCAAACACACATTTTTCTGCACATAAAATATCTTTTCCAGATTGTTGGCTGTAAACTCAGGTGATACACGTTGCGGTGTTGGTGATGCTCCGGATCCAATGTTGATGTTCAGAGATGTGGCCGATTTGATAATCAGTCACGAATTCTTGCTCGACAGAGGTGGAGTATGTGATGGAATTTCTGTTAACAAAACAAACATAGAGAAGTTTTCTTCATATTCAGACTCTGATCAGGCGAAACTAGGTTTGACGACGGCAACTTCAGATAAACCATCAGAATCAAATATTATTGGGCTTGCGTCAACACTGTTATTATCAGGTATGTAAACGATATTATTATCACCCGAACAATTCATCATGTCAATAAACATATCCCTATCACAGTTTTGAATTTCAGTCTTCACATTCAAAGTAAAAATTTTTCGAATCATCATCAATCTCTGGAAGCTCATTCATAACCATGTGATACTTCATAACAGTATCGGTCGTAAACTTTTGATTGTGACTTGAGATTGTATCAAGTGTTATTATTTCTGACAAATGGTGATTGAAGTGTAGGCCTTAAACGAAATTTGATTACGTCATGATTGCTTTAACTGATATACACTAAAATGTGTCAAAATCAATGATCATCAAGACGCATTTTATAGCTGCCTGAAGATCGATTCCACTAATTCTGTATATGCCTATCAGCAAGTATCATCGTCATCATTATCGTCATAGTCAATGATCTTCATTCGTTTTATTACTGAGAAGACTCTTTTCGTATTGAATGTTCTATCATGACTTATAATGGGAGGTGTTTGGCGTCTACTCTCTCGTCAATCAATAAGTGAATTAGGTATGGATTGTTTTCACTTTACTGAGTTGTCAAACATTATGTTCTTACTAATTTTCGATCATATCTGTAGGAGCACCAATTATTTATTATGGAACTGAGACTGGTTTTCGCGTCCAGTATCAACTGGACAATCGAGATTATATTTATCCAAAAAAAGAGGGTTACAATAACATTGATGGACATCTGGCTCTCAACTCTCACATCCCAATGCCATGGGATTCAACTGGAAAGAGGTTTTCGCCAACAGTAGATGATACTACGTTAAGTGGATATTTCAATGCTTATGAACAACTGTCATCCGTTGAAGTAAGTTATATATCAGTGACTTCGAGGCCTTTGTTCTTTCAATACTCGCCTCTATTATCTACCAAAAGTCATCCAGAACACATGATTGACAGATTTTTTTGAAATTCATCTTTAATTAATCAAACATTCTTTATTCTCAAGTAAATGACATACCGCTGAGTTATACAGTGTTTTTTATTGATAAACTGTTTAGTATTTAAACCTTGCGCCGTTTCTTTCTTCGGCAAGCAAAACTGATGTAATTAGACTTATCTTTTATTCATCTTTATTGTTCTTAGTATTCAAGGTTCACTCAATATTATAATATTTTGGACGTCGATTGTACACTGTACCACAAGCCTCTGTAGGGTTGTGCATGCGGTTTGCTACCCAAACCCACAAAATGCTAACTCACTATAGAAACGCTAATCGGAAAACATAACTAAAACCTTTTTAACTCTGCCCTTGGAGTAAGAAGGTCCTTTTTCGGAAGAATAATGATCTTTCATGAGGATAGCCGAATTCCCTCGAGAGTCACGAAGCCGAAGCTCCCTCTGACATCTAGAGCGAATTGTAACATCAAGGATCATTGTGAAGAGATCAATCTCATGCAACTTCATCACTCTACATCAGCTTCATTGAGAAATGGAAAGCATTTGATAGCATGAAAATGACAACATTATGAATGAGTTGTCAAAACCACAATACATCGAAAAATATAGAAAGATATAAGAAGAACGAACAAAATTTAGACAGAACTGGAAAAGGAAGCCCAGGACAGAGTAAGGTGAATGCGACTGTTAAGTGGTTAATGCCTCATTGAACGTCACAGGCGTAAGTGAGAAATTTGTACACTGTACAGCGTTGAACGTCTTCAGTAAACCACAGATACATGTTCTTTGATCAATTTTACAATACATATTCGATAAAATGAACTGAATAAAACGCACTGAAAATTTCCAGGAAATGACATTTGAATTCATGTTACCGAATCCATCTAAATTACTATAACGTTAAACCTTGATGATACAATGCTGATGGTTTTAAGATAAGCAGAATAAGAAAAACCAATTTTAATTCTGGTTTCAGCGTGTTATGATGCATAAATTTTCATGTTAAACGGCTTAGACTTCAATCCCTTTGATCTATCACTTCACTAAATGTACTTCCGTAATATTTGACACACAAACGTTTTTTTGGCGTTAAATAAGCTTCTAAAGTTCCATGAACACACCATTGGAAAGAGCATGCCAATGGGCCTAAAAAGGTGCTCCAGTTGTATATTTCAGCAGTTGTACGAACAGATTTACACATCATATTGAATACCACATTTCTCTCTTTTTAAAGACTCAACTTGCTGAAGGAAATGATCAATCCACACTTCGTCTCGTTATGAAATTGGTGGATCTACGTCAGAAACCTAGTATGGAAAGGGGAACAATGGAGCGATAAACCTTCCTAAAGTGAGTAATTTCAAAGTTTACAGATCAAAACAATTTCTCTTTCTGAACAGTTTTAGCAGTCGAATACTTTGAGTTTATGGTTATATCCAAAATATAATATCATGCTATTCATTGACTATCAATTTCCTGAACAAATAGCCATTGTCTGTTCGCTCATTTTGTTTTGGCATAACGAATTTTCGCAATCAAACACGCATGTATTCAATTATCTCACGTGGTCAAATGGTGAACAAATAAGGAGATATCACTTTCAGTTATTCATTCATCATTCACCATTACTTTTCAAACGGAGCTCTTGAAGCAACAAAATCTATTTTTACTCCTCATCACATATAAATAATAGACTTGTATTCATCGTATGCCAGTACTTTCAACAACATTGTCAGTGCGTTGAGCCTGGAAGCTACTTAGAACACAGTTTGTTTATAATAAGAGGGCGATACAAACCTCATGGTTAGTTAATTAGTTTATACTGTTTATTGGATTGATGAAGAGTCTCTGAATGGAGAACACCTCATTTTTCATGAAGATCAAACATCTATATGTATGTGTAAGCAAATTTGGAAGCAAAACGTGAAGTCGAATGAAGTACGCAGAAAAATATATTCGGCACTATAATAAATACACTGTTTCATTGATTCCATTTCAGAGAACTGCGAAACTGATTGAAGCATTTTTACGAAAGGAGGAAGGATTTCCATCATTCTTCGTGGTGTTGTTAGAGGAATTAAGAGGCAGTTATTCCTTCGATCTTACTACTGTTTGTTCTTCGGCTACACCGGAAATAATTTATCATTCACATCCACTATTGTCAGCCGACAATCCCTTATCAACTTCAAAAATAAACATTACAAACCAAACCGATTCAAATCACATTTACGTATTTGAATGCAAATGAATAAATCACCAATCTTCAAACTTATCCTAATCAATATTTAATCTTGATTTCAGTGTGACCACTATTTTTCATTTGCACTTCTATCGGCATTTGTATTTCTCTTTCTATATTTATGTTGTTAGTTGACTGATTTTCATTTAAAATTGTTTGCAGTGTGTAATCAGTTTATTGTTATGCTTAAATATAATCAATCTCTTCATCCGTATATTTGCTATTTGAAAGTGAGAGAGCAGTGTTTGTTGGATAGCGAAATGTTTAAATCCATGTGTGTTGATATGTGTATTCTGACATGCACGATGCTAAAATATTAGCCTACAAATATATAACATAGACAAAATCACTCAGAATTGCATATTCGTTCGACCCAAATAGTTGTTTCTGAACACCTCAGTTGAAAAATAATTGTATCGTATTTTTTTCTAAATCAGAAACTTCGACAAACATGTCGTAACAGTTCTACTGGACGTGGAGGAAACTTGGAAGACAATTAAGGGTAACATCTAGAAGACAGAAGTGTCTATTAGGAGTTGTTTACGCAAAATACTTCATAT